TTGAATTTGCTGAAATCTCCTCCACCGGGAATCTGGACTGGTTTTGAAGGTCTACTCCCCATGGTTGTCATAACTTCAATTAAGTTGTGATCTGAGTAACAGGTATTTGTAATCATTATGTTCCTGATCAATTCATCATTATTAGTGAAAATGAGGTCCAGCGTGTTCTCCTTCCTAGTTGGTTCTACTATTTGCTGGTTTAAGGCAAACCTGTCGCACATCCGTAGCAGGTCATTTGCATGTGCCTGTTCATTTAGGCTACTTCCTGGTATTCTTTCTGATATTACTGTATTAGCCAGGTGCTTCCATTTCAGGTGCCGTAGGTTGAAGTCCCCAAGCAGGATGATGTTCGGAGCTGGATTTGTGAGGTTTTCCAAGCAGTGTTCTATTTTCATTAGTTGGTCTTTAAACTGCTGAGGGTTTGCCTCCGGTGACTTATATACAAGGACAATAACTACATTTAAAATCTCTATTTTGATTATCAGCACTTCCACCAATCATTTGAGGTGTTTAGCAGCTCAGTACAGATGAGTGTGTCTTTGATGTAGAGGCTGACCCCACCCTGAAGCCGGTGTTTCCTATCACATCTGAAAAGATTGTACTCTGAGATCCATATTTCACCATCATGGTAGTCCTTTGTGTGGGTTTCTGTTAGGGCTGCAAACACTGCATTTGCCTCATGAAGGAGACCATCTATAAATTGAACTTTGTTGGTTTTGCGTGTTTTTATACCCTGGATGTTGGCAAATATAAATGATGTTATCGTGTTAGTGGAAGTGCTGGAAGCCTTACTTGGTGTTTGGGCAAAATATCACCAATCGCCGTTTTAAGTAATTAGCATATTTTCGGTATAAAAGTTCGAAATTTGAAAATGAAAATAGGTGCAGAGAGTCAGAATTCGGCTAAAAATAAAGCTCAGGAGTAAAATTTCCGACATTTCAGATATTTTGAAAACTGCAGGGGGGGGGGGGCAAAATATGACCCATCGCCGTTTTCGGTAATTAGCATCTTTTCGGTATAAAAAGTCGTAATATGAAAATGAAAATAGGTGCTGAAAGTCAGAATTCTGCCCAAAAATCACGCTCAGGAGTCAAATTTCTGACATTTTACATATTAAAAAAATCCAGGGAGGGGGGGTTTGGGCAAAATATGACCCATCGCTGTTTTCTGTAATTTGCATATTTTCTGTATAAAAGGTCGTACTTTGAAAATGAAAATGGGTGCAGAGAGTATGAATTCGACTCAAAAATCACGTTCAGGAGGCAAATTTCCGACATTTCAGATATTTTGAAAACTGCATGAGGGGTTTGGGCCAAATATGACCCATCGCTGTTTTTAGTAATTAGCATGTTTTCGGTATAAAAGGACGTAATTTGAAAATGCTCCCCCATTTTCTCTCATACTCCCCCACTTTCCCCTATACTTCTCCACTTTCCCCCATACTCCCCCACTATCCCCGATACTCCCCAACTTTCCCACTTTCCCCTATGCTCCTCCACTTTCCCTCATACTCCTCAACTTTCCGCCATACTCCCCCACTTTCCCCAACTTTCCCGCATGCTTCCCAACTTTCCCCTATACTCCCCCACTTGCCCCCATACATACATATTTACTTTCCCCTTCCTGGATGGGCCTGGACTCAGGCAAATTATGGCTATACCTGAACACGGGCCAGGTCTCGCTAGGCCTGGACTCCGGCTTGGCTGGGCCTGGACTTAGGCCTGTCTGGGCCTGGCTGGGCCTGGGCTTGGGCCTGTCTGGGCCTGGACTCGGGCAGGGTCTGGCTATAGCTGAACACGGGCCGGGACTTGCTAGGTCTGAACTCCGGCCTGGCTGGGCCTGGACTCGGGCAGGGACTGAATATACCTGAACACGGGCTGGGTTTCGCTAGGCCTGGACTCCGTCCTGGCTGGGCCTAGACTCGGGTCTGTCTGCGTCTGGACTTTGTCAGGGCCTGGCTATAGCTGGACACGGGCTGGGTCTCACTAGGCCTGGACTCGGGCCTGTCTAAGCCTGGACTCGGGCCAGGCTATACATGGACACTGGCTGGGTCTCGCTAGGCCTGGACTCGGGCCTGGCTGGGCCTGGACTCGGGAAGGGACTGGCTATAGCTGTACACTGGCTGCGTTTCTCAAGGCCTGGACTCGCACAGGGCCTGGCTGTAACTGAATACGGGTTGGGTCTCGCTAGGCTTGGACTCGGGCACGCCTGGGCCTTGGAGTCGGGCAGGGCCTGGCTATACCTGGACATGGGCCGGGCTTCGCTAGGGCTGGACTCGGGCAGGGCCTGGCTATAACTGCAGTCACTACGCCTGGACTTGGGCGTGTCTGGGCCTGGACTCAGGCAGGACTCGGGCCTGGCTATAACTGGACATGGGCTGGGTCTCCCTAGGCCTAGACTAGGGCCTGTCTGGGCCTGGACTCGGGCTTGTCTGGGCCTGAACTCGGGCAGGGCCTGGCTATAACTGGACAAGGGCCAGGTCTCGCTAGGTCTGGACTCTGGTCTGTCTGGGCATGGACTCGGGCAGGGCCTAGTTATAACTGGACCCAGACCTAAAATGACCGAACCTAACCTAACCTAACCTATCCTAATTTAACCTAAACTATCACAACTAAGTAAATAATTAATGTTCTGAATACAATATAATAATAATAATTCAAATATACTAATTGGAAGCATTTTATTAAAAATAAAGAAAACCACTCGGCCTATTAGGCAAATCTGGGCCTTGCATAGTAAGCAGAGAAGTGCGTTCTGGCTACTAGTGTAATTATTTATTTTTATATATATATATATATATATATATATATATATATATATATATATATATATATATATATATATATATATATATATGGGCTGCAGAAGGCTTATTGGCCCATACGAGGCATCTCCTATCCAAACACAAAGATAGGAGATGCCTCGTATGGGCCAATAAGCCTTCTGCAGCCCCTATGTTTATCCCTTATGTATCCCCCCATATATATATATATATATATATATATATATATATATATATATATATATATATATATATATATATATATATATATATATTAAATATGACCGAAAAAGTAAGATTAATAATTCTAACACGAATTTTCTCAATCTTTCGTACATTTCTTTTCACTGTTGAAGGTAATTCAAAAATCAATTCTCCAAAATTCATTTTTATTTCTAGTCTGACGCGACACGAGCGCGTTTCGTAAAACTTATTACATTTTCAAAGACTTTAGTTTACAAATACACAACTGAATAGAACTTACACATCTCCGATTTTGTTTATATCTACATTTGAGTGAGGTGGCATTAATAGGGTATTAATTTCATCAACACAAGACAGAACAAGAGGTGGCATTGATAGGGTATTAATTTCATCAACACAAGACAGAACACGAAACAATGGGTATTGAAATGGAAGTGATTGTAGAAAGCCTATTGGTCCATATTTCTTGATGCTTCTATATTGGAGCAGAGTCTTGAGGTGGGTAGAATATAGTTGTGCATTAATTGGCTGTTGATTGCTGGTGTTGACTTCTTAATGTGTAGTGCCTCGCAAACGTCAAGCCGCCTGCTATCGCTGTATCTATCGATGATTTCTGTGTTGTTTACTAGGATTTCTCTGGCGATGGTTTGGTTGTGAGAAGAGATTATATGTTCCTTAATGGAGCCCTGTTGTTTAGGAAAGTAAGATCTTCTTAGGTTGTAAGAAGGAAAGTGAAACGCCATGCAACCTCTGAAGAGACAACTAACACAACACCTATACCCCCTATTAGACTATTTTACAGGAACTTCTTTTCCACAGCTCATAAAACAGAGGAAAGGGTCCTGGAAGATATTGTTAATAGAAACGTTATCCCTACAGACAAAAATCAGAGGATACAACTGACGATTTACTATAAAACCAGAAAAACGGCCAGCCTACTCATGAGAAACTCTCCAGACACAAAGCAGAACGCTTTAAAAGAGACCAACGTCGTCTATGCCTTCAAATGCCCACTTGGGGACTGTAAGCTCCAAAAAACCCAGTATATAGGCAAGACAACAACATCTCTTTCTAGGCGTTTAACGATGCATAAACAACAGGGCTCCATTAAGGAACATATAATCTCTTCCCACAACCAAACCATCGCCAGAGAAATCCTAGTAAACAACACAGAAATCATCGATAGATACAGCGATAGCAGGCGGCTTGACGTTTGCGAGGCACTACACATTAAGAAGTCAACACCAGCAATCAACAGCCAATTAATGCACAACTATATTCTACCCACCTCAAGACTCCGCTCCGATATAGAAGCATCAAGAAATATGGACCAATAGGCTTTCTACAATCACTTCCATTTCAATACCCATTGTTTCGTGTTCTGTCTTGTGTTGATGAAATTAATACCCTATTAATGCCACCTCTTGTTCAGTCTTGTGTTGATGAAATTAATACCCTATTAATGCCACCTCTTGTTCAGTCTTGTGTTGATGAAATTAATACCCTATTAATGCCACCTCACCCCATCCACCTCACTCAAATGTAGGTATAAACAAAATCGGAGATGTGTAAGTTCTATTCAGTTGTGTATTTGTAAACTAAAGTCTTTGAAAATGTATTAAGTTTTACGAAACGCGCTCGTGTTGCGTCAGACTAGAAATAAAAATGAATTTTGGAGAATTGATTTTTGAATTACCTCCAACAGTGAAAAGAAATGTACGAAAGATTGAGAAAATTCGTGTTAGAATTATTAATCTTACTTTTTCGGTCATATTTGATAATATATGTCTACAGGAAAGACTGCTACCAAAATATACTAATATTTATATATATATATATATATATATATATATATATATATATATATATATATATATATATATATATATATATATATATATATATATATATATATATATATATATATATCACACACACACACACTCATGGCATGCTCAATAATTTATCTAACGGCTCCATATATCATAACCTGAGGCTGTATCATTAAACAAAATAGTGTATAAATATTTATTTACAATAATGAATTATACATTTCACATACATTTTCAGTCACCTGGTGAAGAATTTATTATATCAACCAGAATCAAGAGTTCCAGCTAAACAAATACACTAAAGCACAATTCTTTTATCCAAGAGTTAAATACTGTACTGCTGCTTTATCTAAATTTAACCAAAGACTATTAATTTTTGCAATTACATTGCAGCAGCCATAGAGTTACTTGTCTTTAGTGAAGGTAAAGTCATACTTCCTGTAGTCCATGCCACCCATCTTGTGTTCAAATTTTGGGATCAATTGATATCCATGGTCCTTTCCATCCTTGTAGAGAACAGCAATACAACCAAGGGCAAATCCTAGTGGTATACCCACTCTGAATGAACGTTCTGAAAAATACTAGCTCTCTTAACACATTAAAGCAATAACATGATGCTTAACACAAGTACTGTATGTACCTCATAGCAGTAAACTAATATACAAGAAAATTATTCCCTTAAGCCATCTAAGAGTAACTGGGTGAAGGAGTAAAAAAGAGGGGTATAGTGGTCTGGGGGATTGAATCTGGTGCTGGGGGTTTTGACCTTTGGCCAGTCTGCACAGACTCATGGCACACCTGGTGATGTCGTGAACTCCAAAACGATGGTCCCAATGGGAGCTAAGCCTAACCCCTTCTCCTGGGCCCCGATTGGTTAAAAGAAGAAGGAACCATTAAAATGTGTAGAGCAAAGAGCTACCTGTGCTAGGCAAGCTGCCTCATTCAAATGTGGGCACTAACATTATATGCATCTATTGTCCATTGACCCAAGATATCTGTGTGCGCTAACCTGAATTTCATCAAATTGACAATGATTTTTATAGGGAATTCACCAATTAGCTACAAATCAACCCTCACATTTCCCACTATTGTCGTAGAATAATAGTAGGAAAAGATAAGTCTCCTACTTCTTGTGGCCAAGTGCAAAACCTGTACCAAGGCTAAAGAAAAAACATGATTGATATACCAGTACAATAAGTGGATCAGCGTGTGTGGGACAGAGTAACCTGTATGAGGGGGTGAATTTGCCGACATGTTATATAGAGCAGAGACCTGGATGATCTCATCTTTGGTGGCCTAGAAACCTTCCTTGCCACCTACCTTCACAAAAAATACTTGCCCACCACATGAGTGGAATTGTTGGAAGTGCTATGTGCAGCTTCCAGTTGACATACCAGGGCAATCTTCATTGTGTCATTTGTCTTGTTTATTTTTTATATTCTACTATTTCATATTCTAATATTTCATATTCTACATTCGTGTTTGGAGACACTTGTGAGAGCGACGATTCAGACAGTAGTGTATTACCAACCCAGAAACAACAGCGACGTATTGTTTTAGCAGAGACTCGCCTGAACTATAAATTGAAACATGAGCTTGTAAAACTCCCCAAATCATTGCAAATCATTGTTCCATTGCAAGTTTATGATATGATCGACGAGTTTGAAACAGGTGAATTATTCTCTGATTTTAGTGATGCAGAATCGGAGAATAGTTTTGCCACGGCTGCTAGTGCCAGTACAAGTTTCGCCGCATGAGCTGCCCGCCCAGCCAAGCACCGCCGCATAGAACAATATGGCGACAATGAGGAACAAATCCCCCTCACCCCCTCATGTTCCAATACTTTTCCCTCATCGACCCTTCCTGCCCCTACTGTTGCTAGACCTGCTTCAGCTCCTGGTCCCCGGATTCCTCGCTGTGGTGCAGCTAATGGCTCTCGGAAGACAGCAGGTTTATTTGTGTGGAGTGATGGGGGAAGATTTTGTTCCACAAATTCCTGACTCTGACAATAGAGATGTGGGAATTACAGATCTTTTCCCTGATACAGGTGACAAAATGAGTGAAATGGACTTCTTTACTACATATTTTGATGAGCCGCTCATGGAACATATCGTTCACAAAACGAACAGACTTGCGGCTGATCTCATTGAAGGTGAGGAGGTATCAGACTTTTCACGACTACAGCGTTGGAAAGAGACAACTGTAGGTGAACTGTATGTTCACAGTGAGAACTGTATGTGTTTTTTGAAATTTGTATGTTGATGAAACATTGTGTGAAACACACAATATCACATTATTTGAGCAAAGACAATGCTGTTCCAACACCATTGTTCGGGAAATATATGTCCCGAGACAGATTTCTGTTGATCCTATGGTGCCTTCATTTTGCAAATAATGCAGACAAGAGACAGGATGATAGGCTTTAGAGGGTGAGGCACGTGCTAAATGAACTGATTGGAAAGTTCCGAGATTACTATGTACCAGCTTAGAAGCTGTTTATTGATGGATCCCTTGTGCTTTTCAAAGGACATGCTGCCTTCAAGCAGTATATTCCCTTAAAATGCCACCGATTTGGATTAAAATTCTTTGTGCTCTGTGACTGTGAATCAGGAATGGTGTTACACATGATACTGTATTCCGCTACAAATGTAGACATTTCTGCTAATGACCAACATGGCTTCTTCAGGTAGTGTGGTGAAGGCACTGCTTGCACCATATCTGAACAAGGGCCACATATTGTACACGGATAACTATCATACCAGTCCCTTACTAACCAAATTCTTGCTTGATAATAAAACTGGAGTGTGTGGCACAGTAAAGCCAAAACGAAGGGAAATGCCTGTGTTTGACACTGCAATGCAAGTAGGTGATTGCGAGGTAAGAAAAAGTGGTGCAATACTTTCAGTGCGGTGGAAAGACAGACGTGAAGTGAACATGCTGACCACCATTCACCCTGGTTCAATGGTGGACAGTGGCAAGGTGAACAGAACAACAAAACAAGTAATATATAAGCCAGATTGTGTGATGGACTACAACATCAACATGCGTTTAGTTGATAAATGTGACATGGTGGTTGGGTGCTGTAGAGAGAGTACGGAAAACAGTGAAGTGGACGAAGAAAATGATTTTGTTGTGAAACGTAGTTTGTTGTGAAAACGATTTTGTTGTGAAAACAGTTGTGAAACGTAGTTTGCCAAACTACGTAAGTTTGGCAAAGACACCCCTGGCATACAAAGACCCATTCAAGACCCAAAATTGAACCATGCTCCTGCACCCAGGCTTGCTTACAGGGAGGCCTTTTTGGCACACCAAATCAAGAAATTACCACCAACTGGAGCTCGTGTAGCTGGCCAGCGTCGGTGTGTTGTGTGTTCCAGCACCAAACTGAGGCCATAGAAACGTAAATTGGTGTTAACACTTTGGCGTACCTCGCGCGCCTCCCCTCAACTGTGCGATATGGGACCCAGGGTGTCACGGGAGCGCGCGTAAATTCTGAAAAGTGTATACTCTCTTCAACTTTGTCACCTTAATTCTCGTCCTACGAGATTAAATTTTGTATCATTGTGTTCGCAATAGAATTCTCTACAGCACTAAATGCATATAAACTCCAAAAGCCCGGCTAATTACCCGCAGCAAACAGAGAAAGTGCGAACGAGTTACCCAGGAGCGAGCAAACGCCATAAAATGTTTTCACTATTTTCACTCTGGTCACCTCAATTTTCGTCCTAGATCTTTCATTTTTGTCTCAATGGGTTCGCAATAGAATTCTCTAGAGGAACATTAGCATATAAAATAAAAAACCTGGTCACGCTCCAACCGCCGACGAGTTGAAGACGGGCCACGCGTTAGCCGCAAGTGAGCGCTCAGATGCCTTCCAGCTACACTCCCAATTCCCGCCCTTTTCAAGCCTTTCTTTCGCAATTTTCTTCCTGGAAGGGCCTTGTTCATGATCACTATCCATCGTGGAGTAAGCGTAGATAGTTTCTAAAGCCGCAGTAAGAAATATAGCCACGGAAAATAGCCGAAATGTTCACACTTTTGAGATGCAAGGTGAGGCGACATTGGTCACAACAGTGGAGCGAAAACAATGGGCCCACGGCGTGTGCCAAGCCGCCTGAGGGCCACGAGGCTCAACAAAGAAAATGGGAAGACATCGGCGCGCATTTTAAAACCAGTCCCCAAAAAATCGGATAAAAACCTGATTTTTGGCGATTATTTGCTGCGTCATCCCCGGCATTACCGACAGTAAATGGATGACGCAATGCTGCGTCATGCCCGGGCGAAAGTGTTAACATGGTGTGAAGCATGTGCAGTCCCTCTGTGCCATATCGACTGTTTCGCACAGTATCACAGTCTCCAGGACTACTAAATGTGTAATACTTTTGTAAATAAATGTACATATCAAGTTAATTTTTGTGTTTATATTGAAAAACAAAAACAAATACTTTGTATATTTCCTGTAAACTATACCATTTTGGTGGGCATACTAGTGACACAAATATGTGAGCGCATAGTGAGTTTATACCAGTTTTATTATAATACAATGCCTAGTGATAATTGGAACAATACTAGCGAAAAAAATTATTGTAAAATGTGCCAAGAATATTGTAAATAATGCCGCGAAAATAAATTCGTGGAAACTCAGGCCTCCTGAGCGGCCGTGAGTGACGGCTCCTTGACGCATCACCCTTGAGCGCTCACGCTCTGTGACGTCATCGGCCAACTTGTTGGCTCAATTATGTCATTGGTAAGTACAATAGAATTTTTGTTATTATTTTTCCTGTGCTCTGGGGACACAAATTAACATGTTTAGAAGACAAAAAAAAAATTTAGAATTTATTTTTTCTTGCGCACAGGGGTGTGAATGTCCTCAGGACCCCTTAGCAGCTTAACCCTCAAACCGCGCATATCATATATAAATGATATCAGTGACAAAACCGAAACCGCGCACATCATTTATATATGATTTCGTGTCTAGCGCTATAATTTAAACGCCCCGCCTGGGATAGGGGCAGCTATAGTACAGCCATGATCGATAGTTGCCAGATGCCACCTAGAAAAAAAATCCAGGCCAACATTCTTGGGTGTTACAGCGTCAGTATTGAGCAAGCCACCAAGGCTGGCGCACGCAGCACGAGCTCACAGCACCGCTGTTCAGCTTGTGACCACAGCATCGCCTACAAATACCATAATATAAATGATACTGCTATTATTTAGCAGTGATAGTATTACTGAAGCCCCCTGACTGTGATAAAACTGACCAGGATTCTGATAATAGCAGGATTGTGGTGATATTTAGCGCTGTGCTCCATGGAGGGAGGAGTAATGCTGTGGGAGGGAGGGTTGTGGCGTCGTTTTCTGACTGTGTGTGGTCACCATTTATTGACTGCACTCACCATACCAGCTTAGTGGTTCGCCATGGTGAACACAAATGTAGATACTTATATATAACGTGTGTATAGTGTGAGATAACAGCGAGAGGAGTAGGTTGGGAGCCGCCATTTTGGTGAGGGAGGAGCGTCGTCTGCACGACTTGGTATGTTGTTTACTGATGGCCACTATGGTCTTTGGGCACCATACCAGCTTATTTGTTCAGGTATGGTGAATAAAACAGGTAGATACTTATATATAATGTGTGTATATAGCATAATAACACCACAAACAATATTGTTGGAGGATAAATATTAGTGCGTCTGGCCTTGAGGGCGGCCGCCGATCAGCTGACTGTGTGAGTAGCTACGTCTTATGGCCTTTACTCACCATACAAGCTTAGATGTACAGTTATGGTGAACAAAACATGTAAATACGTATATATAACGTCTGTGTATAGTGAATAAATACAGAAAGAGTATTGTGGGAGGTAAATGAGGGTGAGTGAGGTGGTGTTGAGGGAGGGAGTGGCAGTGAGTGGCTCGCTGGTGTTTGGCGGTCACTCCTCGTTGCTTTTTAACTCACAAGACCAACTTAGTAGTGCGTTATGGTGTACAAAACATGCAGATACTTATATATAACCTGTGTATATAGTGTAACAACAGCAAAACTATTTGTTTATTGTTTTATGAACATAATAATTGAATCACTAATATGCACACCATAATTTTGAGTACAGCGATGGTTCACACATTTTATAATATAAATATACCACAATTCACTGTATGGAATAATATTACTGCAAAAAAACTAAGAAAAAATCAATCAGAGACATTGAAATAATTAGGTAATAATATATTTGTGGCAACTGCCGTCTGACAGCTCGGGCGGAGTAGACCTCGTCTGGCGAAGGCTCTGCCAACGCCCCTTTTTTGCCACACTTCCCTACCCTATTGCGGCTAAAATATGCCACCTACGATTTTTGTTATTTTTTCCGTGATCAGGGAACAAAAATGAACACTTCTATAAGACGAAAGAATTTTTTGGATTTTTTTTTTTGTTGCGCCTGTGGGTGTGAATTCCATTTGGGCCCCTAGCGGTTTGAGGGTTAAGGGTTAAAGAGGAAAAAGTTAGGAAAGAAAATCCTTAAAATATAGAATGGCACTTTGTTGCATCACATGGAAGGGAAGAGAGACTTAGATGCCAAGTTCGCTCGGGGCAAGCATGATACATAAGCCTCCAGAAAAAAATCTCATTTTAGCAGGGAAATACAGTACAGAGTGTATACAGACTGTACACACAGTTCTAATAATTAATAATGGTGTGATAAAAAATACATAACACAAATGCAGGCGATGAGTCACAATAAAGTGGCTGAAATATATTAACCAGACCACACACTAGAAAATGAAGGGACGACGACGTTTCGGTTCGTCCTGGACCATTCTCAAGTCGATTGAGAATGGTCCAGGATGGAACAAAACGTCGTCGTCCCTTCATTTTCTAGTGAGTGGTCTGATTTACATAACACAAAGTACAAAATGTACATGTCTAGATATTAAATCAGCCAATCATATTATATAATGTATTTATCTAGAGAAAAAGATAAACTTACTGGCAGCTCCTATTACACTCCCTGCAGCATTTCCTCCAAGGAAATAATTTAAGCCGTCATCTTTGTTTCGCAGATTTGTTGATACACATGTCACTGCTGCAAATGTTGCCCCTGCAGCCGCAAGAGGGAAAGTCACCTGAATGTATTTAGCTAGTGTGGGCACATAACCTTGAGGCTTTGTGACCATTAGCACATCGTAAGTCGATAACACCAACCCTGCAATACAAATGTTATTATTAATATTCTATTGTACTATAATACAAAAAATAATGCAACACCTTTTCAACATATTTTTAAATGTATTTACAACAGTAATTTATTAATTATTATTCATCCATGTAGGCATAATAAAAAACCAGCGTTGAATGTAATGAAACGCCATTTTCTGGGTGAGTCCCGGAGGCTCCCTGGAGCTATCCCAGGCTGATATGCTAATGTCAGACTTTGGCATCAGTCATGTGTATGGAGTTCTTAGGCCTACCGGGGACCACGGCCAGAACCGGGCCCCCTCAGAGAGGCAAGGGGAGCAATGGCCTATAGAAGCCCCCGTGTGGTTGGAAGCATTCTAT